AATTGCTGCCTGCTCCTTCCTCTGGAAGCTTTGTCCCAGCAGGGCACCCGCCAGTTGCCAGCTGAAACTCTCCTGTATGAGGTGTCTGTCAACCCCTGCTGGGTGGTGTCTCCCCATCAGGAGGCACAGGGATCAGGAACCCACTTGAGCAGGCAGTCTGTCCCTTAGCAGAGCTCAAGCACTGTGCCAGGAGATCTGCTTCTCTCTTCAGAGTCAGCAGGCAGGAACAGTTAAGTCTGCTGAAGCTGTGCTCACACCTGTGCCTTCCCCCAGGTGCTCTTTCCCAGGGAAATGGGAGTTTTATCTATAAGCCCCTGACTGGGGCTGCTGCCTTTTTTCCAGAGATGCCCTGCCCAGAGAGGAGGAGATTCCTATTGTTTTTCTACTGCTGCTTCTAGGTTTTGACAGGTTGTATTTCAGTAAAGAGTAATAAACACACAGAAAGAAGACAGGAATATTTTACCCAGTGCTTCACTGAAATCAGATTCAGTATATTTATCAATAATTATTCACTGAGGCTATTCTGTCCTTGATTTGGAGCTAGTGAACATGTTGTAGGTGTGACACAGAATAATAATATAAATAAAAAATAAAAATCATAACCCATCAATTGGATGTTTTATTACAGAAACCTGATATATCTAGGGAATTATTAACATGTGGATACTTTGGTGTCAAGCATTAAACATAACCTGTTTTGTTAACCATGTGAAAACGTTAAACTAGCACACATTTTATTTGGCATGTTATCATCCAGTGACAAAAAATATTAAAGAATCTTAGTGGAAGGAGTTATATATATAAAACAGGAATAATAATTTAAGATAAACAATAAAGATAGATATACATTAGAAAATCTCTCTATCTTAGTCCACTTGAGCTACTATATAAGAAAATACCTTAGACTATGTAATTTATAAGGAACAGAAAATTACTGCTCACACTTCTAGAGGCAGGAAAGTCCAAGATCAAGGTTTCAGCAGATTTCGTGTCTGATGAGGGTTTGCTGCCTGCCTCATAAGATGGTGCCTTCTAACTATGACTTCACATGGTGGAAGGGGCAAGGGAGATCCCTTGAGCCTCTTTTATTGGGGTACCAAAATTTATGAGAGTGGAGCCCTCGTAACTTAATCTCATCCCAAATGCCCCACCTCTTAGTTCTATTGCGTTGGGTTTTAGGTTGCATCCTATGAATTTGTGGAAACACCAACATTCAGACCATAGAACTATCTAAAATAATGCAATTGTGGTAATCACCTTTTTGGCCAAAATACACTTTTAAAGTAATGAGAAACCAGTCAGTACTTAGGTCAAATTATATTTCTAAAAGTTAATAGCTTAGATGATTTTTATTGTGTCATATAAAAAAGTTAAACAATTATATTTAGTTACTTAAGACTGATGCTTTAAAAAACAAGACTATGTGAAAGGAATCCATTCTTGAGAATGCATTCTTGTGTTGCTAATGAAAACTTTGCTGTCATAAATAAAAGGAAACAAATATATGTATAAAAGAGAGCTTTTCTTCACAAGTTTTATTTGACCTTTAATAGAGTCCGGAGATGCTATTAACATGTAAGTAGTTTTAGAATTTCAAAAATAAAGGGATTCTCTCTGACTGCAGCATTTTTGTATTTTTAATTCCAAGGCCTCTGTTATGGTGTTCACATACTGATTAAATAATTAGTTTTTTCATTTTTCTGCCAATCTTGTAAGCAACAACTTGAATGATCAAACAGATGGTAAATATAAATATTTAATATGCAGAATTTTATGTAATCATTTGTATTAGTATTTATCTAGCACTTTAATTTTCCAGCTCCCTTTTGTGTTAGTCATTTCCCCAGCATCCTAATGCCCGTGAGTTTGGGAGTTTTGTTACTTGCTGAGGAGGCATTGAGAAAATGGACTGGGGTGTTGGGCATCTGAATTTTCTTCTTTTCTCTGTGGTCTGGAAATATGATAAAATACGTATCTATATCTTTTGCTTATTTGAAAGAATTATCTAATCCCTATGCTAGATTTATGTTATATTGATTGAGGGGTGGGGGAGGAAATGCATGATATTTAGACTAATGGCATATCACTTAAGGGCTGGGCTATTTGAAGGAGAAGTGTGAAAGTTTAACATATCCTTAGCACTTACATTGTGTTAGGCTATACAATCCAAAGTTAACAACACTGTCTTCTGCTGTTGGTCCTATTCAGCTCTCATCTTATCCTTCTGTGACTGGAAAGGGGTCTGGATGCAGACCCTAAGGGAGGGTTCTTGGATCTTGCATAATAAATAATTCAGGGTGAGTCCATAGAGTAAAGTGAAAGCAAGTTTATTAGAAAAGTAAAGGAATAAAAGAATGGCTATTCCATAGACACAGCGTCTGGTTGCCCATTTTTATGGTTATTTCTTTATTATATGGTAAATAATGGGTGGATTATTCATTCCTCCCCTTTTTAGATCATAGAGGGTAACTTCCTGGCATTGCCATGACATTTATAAACTGTCATGGTGCTGGTGGGAGTGTATTAGTGAGGATGACCAGAGCTCACTCTGGTTACCTTCTTGGTTCTGGTGGGTTTTAGGCAGCTTCTTTACTACAACCTGTTTTATCAGCAAGGTCTTTATGACCTGTATCTTGTGCCATCATCCTGCAACTTAGAATGTCTTAACCATCTGGGAATGCAACCAGTAGTTTGAGCCTTATTTTACCCAGCACCTATTGAAGATGGAGTTGCTCTGGTTCAAAACCTCTGACACTTCCAGTCTTGCCTACTTAAAACTGTTCCCCATGCTGCTCAAACATAGTTACTGAGCAGATCTCTCTTAATGCAAATATATTATTTACTCCCCTATTAGAAATTTTGTTATAGGCTCTCTGTAGCCTACAAGAAAAAGGTAAAACATCCAAACCACCCCTGATCCATCTAGGCCCCCAACCTCACTCAACTCACCAGCTAACTCATAGTTCACGCTGTATTAATGAGACATATACCTCAGACTACTTCATACCTCCACACTCTTGCTCCCTGTTCCTACTTCCCAGAATACCCTCTTCCCAGAAAACCTTTCCCATACCCCAGTTGATTCTAAGTACCCTTGTGAAGAAAACCAGAATATTTTACCCCAAAATATACTTCTTTGGCATGTTTTAATATGGCTATTCAGAGGGACTGCAAAACATAAACATAGCCCTGAAAAGCTGCCTGTTTTGTGGGAAATTTGCATCTGTAGAGGAAATCTATGTTAGTGAAATGAAGTAAACAACAGATGAAAACAGGTTTTCTCTGAGGTCCCCCTTGGATCTAGGAAAGGTTAACTCACAGAAAAAAGAGACTCAAAGTCTCACACTTTTAAAGGTCTGACAGAGAAGCCTTTACCAAAAGCTACCATCTATTCTTTTTGAGGGCAGCTCTCAGATTACCTGAAATATTTTCATGTGCATAACAAGATAGGCTTTGCTTGACACACTTTCTTTCCTTTACTCTCCTATAACCTGTGATACCACCTTTCCCTGTCCGCAGGACCTCCAAGCCTCTATTCTTTCTGTAACCTGAGGGTATAACGAAAGCTTCAGTTATTTGACCCCTCCTTTGAGCCTCATACCTTGTAGTATGACTTCCATGTCCATAAGCCCATTAATAAATTTGTAAACCTTTCCCTTTCATTAATCTGTCTTTCATTACAGAGGTATCCCAGCTAAGAACTTATGAGAACTGAGAAAAGGAACTGGATATTTTTTTTTCTCCCCTTCCATTGCCCTAGGCTTCCATAGACATCTTACTCATTGGCAGAACAACAGCATGTTTGATAGTCCAGGCCTCAGGCTGGGTTTGATCATATAGTCTGTCCTTTATTTTTTGGATATCCTTAACTTCCTCAACCTCCCATTCCTTATCAGCAAAATAAGGTATTTATAATAATAGTACTTGTCTCATAGAGGAGTCAGTGAGTGAATACTTGTAAATTGCTTTGACATTACATGTGCCTTGCACATTTTAAACATGTAATAAATGTTTCAATTACAATGATACCATTTTCCATTATCAGTAATTATGATGGCTATAGCATCTTTTGCATTATGATTTCAACATTGTCTTTGCCATCAGTTTGTTTTCCAACTAGATTATCTCCTCTTATAAGGCAATATTCATTCCATATTTATCTCTGAATCCTCAGAGCTGTGCATTGAGCCTCATTCATAATAGGAAGTCAATAGATGTTATATGCTTACAAGATTGCCAGCTTATCGTCTAAATTAATATTAAAGCATCACACTCTGGACTTTGTAGGATGGCTAAGAAAAGTGTTTCTTCATAGGCTAGAGGTTCAGATTATATATTCGTTACAAAACTGTCAGGTTTGTATGCCCGCTGTGCAGAAACATATCAATATCCTGAGACAGTGGAGATTGCAGCAGAGAAAGAGTATAATAACTGCAAGGCTACCAAGCAATGAGATGGGAGGAATCCTCAAGCCTCAAATCTGTCTCCTTAAGGGGTGCTGCTCAAGGATCTTTAAGAGGATTGTGGAAGGTGACGGGCTGGAAAGTTGGGGTTGTTGATTGGTCGAGGTAAGGGGGATAAAATCATCAGAATGTGGATATTGCATTCTTCCGTGAGTCAGTTCATTGCTGGACCCTTCAGACAAGTAGCTTTTATTAATATGCAAAATATAAAGGGAAAAATTTAAAGAGAAATTTTATTATTTTATTTGTTTTAGATTTTACCTATAAAACAAACAAAAAACACAATATATTGTGACAAGGGGTACATAATAAACAGCTACAAGCTATAAGAAAGTGGGCCAAAGAGCAAGCTGGATTAATAATTACTGCTGATTTTGCTATAAGCCCAGCTAGATTTTATTGTTTTTCTTAATTGATTTTATACAGTTTTCTTGGGGATAGTTCTGTGTTCATGTACATTTCTAGTACTTTCAGTGTAGTCTCTGTTGAGTGTTCCTGGGGTTTGTTTCTGACAGCCATTTTCCGTTTTCTCCGTAGGTACCAGGCTCTTGGAGCCTTACATTCTTCAGTGTTAGAAGGTACTAGAATATTTAATTCCTGTTTTTGAATTTATAATTAAATAATAAAACTGTTTTACTGTGTGCAGATATTGATGATGTTATTTATGTATTTGGTTTATGTTTTTGTTTACTTATTTATTTATTTATTTTGAGGCAGAGTCTCACCCAGGCTGAGTGCGGAGGTACAATCATGGATCACTGCAGCCTCAACCTTCTAGGTTAAATAAATCCTCCCACCTCAGCCTCCCAAGTAGCTGGGACTACAGGTGTGCACCACGACATCTGGGTAAGTTTTAATTTCTCGTAAAGACAGAGTCTTGCCATGTTGCCCAGACTGGTCTCAAACTCCTGGACTCAAGTGATCTCCCTGCCTTGGCCTTCCAGAATGTTGGGATTATAGGTGTAAGCCAGAACACTCAGCCTATGCCTTTGTTGAAACTCTGAAAGCAGAATGGCAGGTAGTAGCTTTAAGTGAATCAAAAGAAATGATTTTTTCTTTTTTTTATTTTTGAAGATCTCAAAGTTTGTAATTTTTTTTCTTATCCAAATGCAATATTGTTAAATAGATGGCATTTTTGAATATACCTTTTAGTAAGTTATCTTTAATATTTCTGTTTCCTTAGCAAGTTGAGAGGTCTTCAATGACAAATAATTTTCTTTTAACCTTGGTAGGACTTGTCAGTTCTGTTGGCATAAACATAGGGTTTTAAATTGAAAACCAAGGTTGTTTATTAGATATAGATAGAGATTTACTATAAAATTCCATTATCCAAGACTTCTAAAAGATTGATGTATCTTTGGTTATTATTAATACTCCCATATCTCCTCTTACAGTTTTCTTTTTTTATTGCTTAATGCTTTACTTTTCTTTCTTTTCTCTGGAAAAGCATTCAGTATGTAGTATTATAATGTATAACCTTGTGAGCATATTTATAGCATCTCATTTTTTAATATTGTGATGAATGATTAATCATAAAGGGTTCACCTTTTTTATCCTATGCAATAACTAATGTATCCATGATTTAATACTTTGAAGGTTTTTAGAGGGATGTTTATTTGAAAGTGGAAATGTTTATTTTTTTAAAATCCTTATTCTAAGATTTAAAAAATTCTTTGCTCATGCATATGAGCCCTTTCTTCTGTTTAAGACTCAAGAGGACTTCCAAAAGAAGTGTAAGTGTTGAGGAGTTTTTCCTCTACTCATCTTGGGTTCATTGACTACCATATACTTGCCTTCTCACAGCTGCTGTCCCTAAAACATGGAAGCACTTTTCCGAAAATTAGACAGAAAAAGGCAAATTAACACGAGAAAAACAAACAAAAAAGCTAATAAGAAGCTTATTAGCGGGCATTATGCAACTGGGGGTACTCAGTGGATGAGTAACCCAAAGAGGGGGTTAGGACTTGGGGAATATGAAGTGTCTTGAGGAAGGAAAAATACATTTGTACTGGAATTACAAGGGAAAGAAAAGTGCTTCCAGTTTTTAGGGACAGCAGCTGTGAGAAGGCAAGAATATGATATAAACCAATGAAATAAGGTTATTTTAGCAAGGTTTGCTACATAGATTCCAGCGGTGCTTTCTTTAGTCTGATGAGTTTAGAACTGTCTCCAGTGATTAAGAATACTCTTGCTTTTTCTGATAGAGAGGGGAGGACAGACAGATTTTCTTTGTATCTACTCCTCAATTGCTCTCAACTCAAAGTAATGCTGAGAGAATGTGTCCATATTGAATAGTTTCAATAAATGGCATGTATTTTTAATACTCACACAGAAACACACACACGTTTGTGTGTGTTTGCATGTGCACACAGGTGTAAAACAAACAAATCAACCCCAATACTTTGAAGTCAAGAGGAGGATCCACAAAGAATTCAAATAACTTATTGAAATTGCAGGAGAAGGTGAGAAATGTCTTCCCTCTCCACATCGTCACCACATAATTATAGTTAATGCTGTGGTACTAAAACTCAGCAAGGGGTTAGAGCAAGAACTTTGGAATTAGGCTGCTGAGAGTTCCAATCCTCTTTCTTGCCATTTCCTGAGTATCATCTTGGGCAAATTATTTCAATTTTTTTTTATCAGTGTACTTACCATATTGATGCAGGATATTTTTGGTGCCACTTCACCAGCTGGAGACCTCTGTGGCCCGCGATATCCCTATCCAAGCCCTGTGCAGCCCTTGACTTGCTGCTGGTGGTACCCCGCCCACTTGGCTCTGCAGGCTATGCTGGCTTGTGCCCTGGCCTGGATCCCATGCTCAGCCTGCAGCTGGGCTGGGTGTTTCCCAGGCCACCTCTGTTACAGTTCGTTCAGTCCCACTGCCCCACTCTGGCCTGTGGCTCCAGGGCTGCTCCAGCACCACCACTGCTTCCTGTCACATGGGGCAGCTACCCCGTGCCAGCGGAGGGCAGAGGGTCACAGTGTTACAGACTTTTTTGTAATCACGTTTGGTGGGTTCCAAGTTCTTGTCCTGCCTCCAAAAGGAATGAGGTTACACTGACAACTGAAGGGTGAGAAGGGTGGAGAAGTGTTTTATTGAGCAATGGAACAGCTGTCAGTGGAGAGGGGACTCGAAGCAGTAGTCCTGCACCTGAAGATGGTTAGTCCTCCCCACCCAAAGTCAGGCAGTCCCTCTCTCAGTGTGGCTGGATCTGGGGCGTTTATGGGCTCAGAATGGGTGAGTGCGTGGTGATTGGTTTGTGAGTATACAAAAAAAAAAAATCAAAAACCAAAACAAAAAAACGCACCACTCAAACATGGGCGTGGTAATGTTAAAAAACCAATTAGGGAAGGAAAGGTGTATGCAAAATAGGTGAAGTGTAGGGATCAATCAGAGGAAAGCACGCCAAATGGGAAGAGAGGTTCTCAATCCAGTCCATAGATTTATCTGAGACTTGTAGCCAGGCTACAGGCTTTAAACTGTCCTTGATAGTTTAAAGCCTGAGAATTTCTTACACAATGTAATGAAAAATATTCTACAGGCTTTAAACTGTCTGAGATCTGGCCACTGCACTCCAGCCTGGGCAACAGAGCGAGACTCTGCCTCTAAATAAATAAATAAATAAATAAATAAATAAATAAATAATCCATCTATAATCCCAGCACTTTGGGAGGCTGAGGTGGGCAGATCACGAGGTCAGGAGATCGAGACCATCCTGGCTAACATGGTGAAACCCTGTCTCTACTAAAAATACAAAAAAAATTAGCCGGGCGTGGTGGCAGGTGCCCGTAGTCCCAGCTACTCGGGAGAGGCAGGAGAATGGCGTGATCCTGGGAGACAGAGTTTGCAGTGAGCGGAGATCTCGCCACTGCACTCCAGCCTGGGCGACAGAGCGAGACTCCGCCTCTAAATAAATAAATTTATTTATTTATTTAAATCTGTAGAAGCCAAATAACAGAAAACATCATATAAATTATTTTTTATTATAAACGTTTTGACATCACAAACTTAAGAGTAGAAATTCTTTTTCTATTCATCATTTTCATTCCTTTCCTAGTATGATCACTTTATATTTTTCATTACATTTGTGTAAGAAATTCTCAGACTATTCACTCCTAGCAAATATAACCTAACAAGAAAAATGTCATGAATCAAATGCATGATGACAAAAGGTGTGGTTTCACTGGGGACCTGCCCCATCTGCGTAGGGATTTTTCTGTCTCCTGCTACTATCAATATTAGGTAGTTGTAAGTAATGTTTCAGAAGTTGTTAGTATATGGAGTCCCTGAAATTAGGTGCAAGATTTAAGAATTCTGGGAAAGATCTTATTTTAATCAAGTCTATCTCACTTAAATGGATTAATTTTTAAAAGGCAGGAGAAAGGTTTATTGAATACTCTGAAGAGAATGACTTGCACTAATCCTTTGTTTCATTCAACACAATTCTCATCCTTTATTAAAAGCAGAATAGCCTCATGGTCTGCTTGTCCTCCAGATAGGAGTGGCTTGTATATGATTGATATTTCTTGAGATCATGAATATAGGGCTTGCTCCTGCTCTAGGGCTAAACATTAGAAGACCAAATGGTGGCCGGGTGCAGTGGCTCACATCTGTAATCCCAGCACTTCGGGAGGCTGATGTGGGCAGATCACGAGGTCAGGAGATCGAGACCATCCTGGCTAACATGGTGAAACCCCGTCTCTACTAAAAATACAAAAAAATTAGCCTGGCGTGGTGGCAGGTGCCTGTAGTCCCAGCTACTCAGGAGGCTGAGGTAGGAGAATGGTTTGAACCTGGGAGATAGAGTTTGCAGTGAGCCGAGATCTCGCCACTGCACTCCAGCCTGGGCGACAGAGCTAGACTCCGTCTCTAAATAAATAAATAAATAAGACCAAATGGCTTGGCTTGTATGGGCTTAAGAGTTTCATCTAAATAGGAGGAGTGTCCTGACAGCTCTAGTCTCAATTCACAACCAGGCTCCTACATTTAGGCTCCTTGCTCCCTTGGTGTTACGAATCTGAAAGAGAATGCATCTCCCTCAAAGTTATGTGAGAAGTGAAACCTTTTACTGAATAATTGTTTTCTTAAAGAAGAAGGGATCTATTATTGGCTTGACTGTTTTATCTTACTTATGCAGTCTAGACTTAGTAATATTCTTAACTGACACTTTTTTTTTGGTGGAGCAGTATGGATTTATCTTTACTTTCCTCTAGTAGTATCAAAAGCTAACATCTAAATGTAAAGATATTAAGTTGACTCAATTTCTTTTTTTTTCCCAAGGAAAGATGTCACAATATTATTTTGGAAATTCTCTGTATAGATTGTGAGAAAGCCTATAAAAATGTTTACCGCATAACAATTCAATCAATACTATTTCTGCATTCCTCATGACCAGTGTTCTTAATTCATAGTAAATTCTCTCAATTTCAAGGTCTAAGGTAAAGACCATGTCCTCGGAGAAAAAAAACATGTTATAATCAAACTATCACTATTAAAACAATTCGTTGGACCAGCTGAAAATTTTTATTAATTCACCTTTATAAGTATATATTAAATCATTGTATTTTTGTCTTAATATACTTGAGGTAAAGATGGTTGATTTCCTCCATAACCTTATTTAAGAAACAGATGGGTTCTATTATTAGTGGATTGTAATAATAAGAAAAAAACCCACTAATTGCTTTGAAAACTAAAAATCAATCCTGAATATTGAACTAAAAATTAATAAAATGTGATATTCATTAGAAAATGTTTTTTACTT